ACATGTCATTGCATTACATAATCGGGGACCATAACGTGTAAATACTCGGTTCAGGTTCTCCAAGACCCAGAATCAGGCTGTGAGTAGACTAAGATATAGTGTTTATTTCGGGCAACCTGAAACAAAACCAAGACAGCGATCTGCATATTCATTTATGTGACGATTGGCTTACTACTTACTATAAGAATTAAATGTTCGGAAACATATTTAGGAAGTTGTCCAGACAAGTTAGTTGCTGCAGAACGTCTTGTTTGTTGCTGTTAATCTGTTTAAATTCTGCAAGCCTATGACTTTAACATATTCAATGAGGTTATTACTTTGTATCTGTTGTAATCTGTGTGTATATATTGAATTATAACAAATTTTTTTACTTTTAATTTGTTAAAGGTATTTGGCCCACAGCATTGGAGGGTTGATAGTGTTTATGTTCCTCTGTCAATGTGACATAATTATCTACATACAATGTTAATGTTAATGTCTGATATACTCTGGATTCATTTACTTGTGTTGATACCAACTTTCGTGGACTTAGGAACAATTGTATTTTCGTGGATATTTTATTTCGTAGTTTAGCAAAAGTTTGTATGCAGGCCTATAGAAAGTGTTTAACTTTGTTGAACATTTAAATGTTCCTATACCCACAGAAGGTGGTTCCCCACGAATAATAATAGATCCATTGTACTCTAGAAACTATGACATTTCAGTTTGTTTTGGAAATTTACCTCTTTAAATACAACAGTGCATTCTAAATTAAATCTACAGGCATCCTTGTATTATCTATCTAGAAACTATCTACACGGTTACAGTATTATCTGCTGAAACCGCACATCTATATAAAAATAAGAAGATGTGAAAACTATCCATAAGAGTTCAAATGACGTAGAAGTAATCAACTGTATCTCACTGTGTGGCCTTAAACAATGAGAAAAACCCATACCACACAGAAAGCTATAAAAGGCCCCGAAATGACAAATGTAAAGCAATTCAAACGAGAAAACTAACGACCTGATTTGTGTACAAAACAAAAAAAGAAAAACAAATATGATAAACAACAACAAATGACTACCACTAAATTACAGGCTCCTGACTTGCCATAGGCACACAGAGAATATAGGGGTAAAAACATATTTCTGGGTGCCCAACACTCCTTCTTACCTTGGACAGTGGTAGTACAGCCCAACAAACTATAAAAATCAGTTGAAAAGGGCTCGACTCATCAGATCGATACAAAGCACAATCACACTAATTGTACAAAGTATTTAGCTGAGGGTTCTCGCAGCTACTGGACGATAGTACAAAATCAAATACAACAAATTCCAAAAATCATGTATCCAAGCAGAATATCAATCAGTACACATACAATGGGTTTAATGTAAAGACGTCATAAATGGTGTAGGAAAGCATGACCTTGTGCAATGCAAAAATTAAACTAATATAAAGTAGAATCGTTGGATAGCATATATCGTCAAACCGTTACATGTATTTTGTTTTAAATTCATCAGGAACCTAATACTCAGTGGTTGTCGTTTGTTGATGTGGTTCATAAGTATTTCTCGTCTTTTATATAGATTAGACCGTTGGTTTTCCTGTTTGAATGGTTTTACACTGGTCATTTGTGGGGCCCTTTTTGGTTGCTGTTCGGTGTGAGCCAAGGCTCCGTGTTGAAGGCCGTACTTTGACCTATAATGGTTTACTTTTACAAATTGTGACATGGATGGAGATATGTCTCATTGGCACTCATACCACATCTTCTTATATCTATTTGAGATATAAAAAAGAATTCACGAAACAAAGTGTGTTCAATCATATGGGTTTTCGGTTGACAAAAAGTCGTAAAATTAGATAAATTGTGAAATTTGGGCAATGTTTTAGTCATTCTCCTGGTGCACTTATGGTTCCATAACTGGAGTTGATATCAACGTAGAATACTTTCGGGTTTACTAGTATCTGGTTTTGACTGGCACTGACAAAAGTTTTTTTTTCGAAATAAGTATATACATGCATTTAATAAGTTGGGTATCTTGTAATGTTTTATTACTCAAACTAAGTCGCCTTCCAAGCTGGTGAGCTGCCACATCCAAAAGTTACCATTACCAAATTTGCCAAGCGCGTGACATTAGTTTTATCATATTGATTGTTGTATTCTTTTAAAATACTTAAAGTAAAGCAGTTTTTATTCATTCTAGCTCCCGATGAAAACAGTTTTTACCTTTTTGTAGAGGTTGCGTTTGTATTTAAAATAGACGGTTTCCAAGTGAAATAGCGAAAAAAATTCTGAAATGCGTAAAAACTTCATCAAGTTAACCTCAATATCTTGGTATTTTTCCTTGCAGAGTACAAAAGAAGAGAAAAACGAAAAACAACTTTGAATAATCTGACAAAAATAAGTTTAAAACCGAGGCCGTTGGTTCCGTTTTTTGAAATATTTCACATTTTGTCATGCCGGGGCCTCTCATAATTTACGATAAAGGGTTTACTGTATCCTATAGTTGCTAACCTCATCGCCCTTTAATCACTTGCGTGTAGTTGTAGCCTTAGCAATCATACCACATCTCTTATTATTTTTTTTCTTATATTTTGACAATAATAAGTCAATCTATTAGATTAGGAATGCATTCTACTTTATACTCATCTATTGTATTTTCAATTACATTACATTAATGGTAAATAAGATATGATGAAATCGTCCATAATAGTATTGATGCATACCATTAAAAAGTAAATTAACAAAAATACTGAACTCCAAGGAAACTTAAAAACGGAAATTCCCTTATCAATTGAAAATCAAAAGCTAATACGCATCAAACGAATGGAAAACAACTGCCATATTCCCTTACTTGGTGCAAGCATTTCCTTATGTATGAAATTGTATATTAAACTTGGTTTTATAGCTAGCTAGACCTCTCACTTGTTTGACAGTCGCATAGAATTACATTATATTGTTAAAAGTGTTTTGTTTGATTTACTAGTCCCTTTCGTAGATATGGGACGATCGAGAGATTGACACCTTGTAAAGACAACTGGCTATTGTCAAGGACTGTATGTTGACCTTTAAGAATTGCTTTATGTTATTTTGGTTATTTGTGTCGTTGTGTTGCTGCCTGAATTATATATTCCGTAGATCTAGTTTTATTCCTATTTACAAAATAACCAGCTAAAGGTTTATCAGCAATGTGCTTTTAATGTTATGGTCAATGCCAATCATTGACCACAGGGCAGTGTATACCCTCAGGAATTACAATATCACCACCGGTGAATAAGTTGAAACCGAGTTTGACAGATTTTTTCGTGTGACGTAATTCAACGAAACTATTTTTTTTTAATTCGCCGTCAACTGAAGCCAATGATCACACTGAAACACTTTGGATAAATCTTTCAATAGATCAATTGAAATGAAAACAAAACCACACAGGAAACATTTTGTTCTTTAAAAGTTATATACCAAGTGGCGTTACTGTGTCCTTATATAAAGTTTGAATAACTTAATGATATCATAATGAGTCCAGTAGGTACGATGTTCAAAGATCTTTTTTCCAAGCAGCACCGAAGCAATTTAAAACTCGCCAGATAAGTCCAGGCCAAAATCTTTAAAATGTTTTGTAACTTTGATGCGGATTTGGATATTTAAATAACCACTAACGGAGGTCAAAGATTACGGTGAAACCATTTGCAATTTAGGATAGTATTTTTTTTTGCATTCATTTTTCAAGGACAGCAGGTTAATTGAAAACAAACCGTAAAAATTTTGATCGAAAGTTCTCACCATGTGTTGCGACTTTAAATCCTGATGAGAAGTCATATAAAGCTTCAAGGTGCCAACAGAACAGGGGTCTAACTGGTCTGATTTTCAAAGAACTCATTTACAACTACAACAATAACATCAACTGATTAACTAATGCTCATAAGATCAGCTGGTTATTTTACTATGGTGTCGATCAACGATTCAAATTGGTCGCCAGATGAGTTGAAGTATACATCAGACCGTTGATTTCTTTTTTGAATAGCCTCATATTTTGTCATCCTTTTGATATTATATAGGATACAATACCGATTTTTTTTAATCCTTGAAGTCTGAACGGTAACCTTTAATTGTTCTAACCTTTAATCATTCTCATATTTCTTTTGGTCTTTAGTGGATAGTTGTCTCATTGGCGATCATACCATATTTCATTTTATATTCTTCAGGTATGTTTTCAGTCATATTTGGGAAACTCAAAAGAAAAAAGCAGAAAAAGTCTCCAAAGTTTCCAAAATGGTCGTTATTGAAGAACTAACTTTTCAAAACAGGTAACGTAACATCTTGACTTTATTCCATGGTACAAATACTCAGATATTTGTCTCTTCAGAACAGAATAACGAAAAACCATAAATATTTTGTTCTTTGCATGCCATTCAGAACTACCCATCAATTTTCCTTCTTAGAAATTTTGTTAGGAATTTGTACGCAATGAATAAGTTAAACATTATAGAGAAAAACTACCTTTACTCAAACCTTAAATTTATCTAGGGGTGAGTACCAGATTAAATTATTGCGCTAGCTGTCTTTTCTTGGGAGTTAGTTAATGCTTTATTATGTTCTCACTTATTTCATGAACAGGTCTTTGTGAAAGTCTGAGATGCACTAAAAAGCCAATAAAAGCATTGTTTAGCTCAGGTGTAAAAATTCAAATAATATTACGCAGACGATATTTTTCTTTTATGTTTGTGACATTCAGATATTTTTCATATCACAGAATGGATAGATATTTCTCATATCACAATGAACGGGTGTGATAACAATACGGGATATCACAAACGAGAGAGAATTAGATATCGCTTGATATCACCACTCATTATTCAATTTCAATAGTAATAAAAACTCGCCAAAGACGCGTTTATCATTATATTGAAATATTTTACCAAACGCCATCAAATCCTAACGCTTTATGAAACGTATAGATATACATTGTGTTTTATTTTAAGTAATCCTAACTAAGTAAAACAGCAAGCGAACAAGAAAGTCAAGATGTAATTATTGGTTTATTCATGTATAAAATATCCAGAAAAGGACGTGTGAGCTCCCCCAAAAACAACTTCTGAAGCTGCAGTATGTCTATGTTTGACGAATACTCGATCTCCAACTTTTAGCTCTATGATAGCACTAATTGTACTCGAGTCAGCAGCTGCTCCTTTATGTGAGTAACCTAGAATATATGGCTGATCATTCTTGTTCAGTTGATAATGTACTACGACACCATGATTTGCCAAAATCATACAGGAAAAATGGTAAAGTCCTTGAACAGTCGCAGTAAACACGCCTGTTGATGGGTCATATGCTCCACCTCTATTCACTCTGACGTCATCAAATTTTAATACGGCATTTATTCCAGTTAATGTAAAATGCGGTGTAAGTGCTGCAAAAAACGCTGGCTTCCCAGTTGCACAGGCAGCTGTATAATTAAACAATTGTATAATCATTTCTTACAAATAATTAGTGCAACTAAATGAAATTCACAGGAAGAACTGTTAAAGAATTTAATTCGCTCAATTCTAACAGAACGATCAGATGCTTTTCTAAAGGAGCAGGATTTTTTTTTGTCAACGGAATTATTGCTTTTATAGGCTGGCTTATTTAATTTCAATACAATTGTTTCTGCATTTTGTAGGGCCTAATAATCACATTTTCTGATATCTTTGCAAAAATATTTATTTTCAGTTCTTACCAGGCCAGCATATTTACAATGTATTTCCAAAATGCTCCTAGTCCAGGAAAATCAAATGATCGTCCCCTTATAGTGTTATTTGTCTCTTTGGTGTTACCTAATTGGAATTGGAAAGTACTGAATGAAGTTTAAGGGGTCAGAAAACATTATAAAGTGTCTGATCCAAGTCATGACTGGAGTTATCTCAACGTATAATACTTTCGGATTTCCAGGATTTAATTCCCAGCAGCACTGACTTAAGATTAATTTTTGAAATAAACATATACATGCAATAAGTTAGTTGGGTATCTTGTAATGCTTGATTACTCGAACTAAATTGCTCTCCAAGCTGGTTAACTGCCAGTTCCCGAGGGTTTCAATATCCAGTTAGCCAATAATTTTGTAATGGAGTGACATTAGTTTTATATTGAGTTTTTGATTTAAAATAGTTTAAATTGAAAAATATAAGTAAAACAGTTTTCATTTAGGATAATCTGAAAAAAATCAGCTTATTACCAAAACCGTTGGTTTTCTCTTTTATTTTAATTTTTTTATGCCAAATTAATGCTTATATCCTTTACTTTGCGGTCCAACGAAACCAAATAAAGTCGGAAAAAAGTTTACATTAATAAAGTTGAGGTTTATAATGGAGTATTTTTTAGGCATAAAGGCTAACATACGTTACATTTGCATTTATCCTGAAAATCAAAACATTTAAAGCCTGTAATTCAGCGGTTGTCGTTTGTTGCTGTATATCTTTTTTTTTCGGTAAATTATTTATACATAAATTAAGCCGGTAGTTTTCTCATTTGAATTGTTTTAAATCTGTTATGTATGGGTCTTTAATAGCTTACTATGCGATATGAGTATTTCTCATTGTTGAAGGCCCTACGGTGAAATATAGTTGTAAACTACTACTTATTTTTATATTAATAAGTGTTTTTTTTGTCACAGTTGCCGAAAGCTAAATATTGCACTCCATAAAATCTTTAAAATCAAAATATAATTAAACAAATTAAAATTTTCGATAATATGAAAGTCTTGTATAACATCGTAAGAAATGTGCGTTAATATGTGTTTTCTAATTGTGCTATCCTTTGTTACAAATTAACTAAGAAACTGATGGATTGACTGTTCGAGGCAAAACGTCTAATGGTAATACTTTTATGCAAAATCATTATGAGAACAAGCTAATAATATATCAAATAGAATATCTTTGTACAGAGACAAACGGTTGTTATTTTGAAGAACCATTGTCTAAATAGCAAAGACGTCTACAGACCTCCACTACTGACTCTGATTCTTCATCTAACAAAAAAAAGCGTAACATTCAGACAAAGATCTGGTATCATGGCTATCCTACGCTTAAAACCATACACAAGGCCAGACAAGTCACAAGTGAACTTACATAATAGATGACAGTATATGTTTTTTTTCTTCAAATAAGCAATAAAAATAAAAACAATGAAACAAAAACAAAAGGTTTGTCTATTGTCAACATGTCATTCAAACTTCATAAAATGCTGATACTCATCAAGTTTAAACAATGGATTCAAAACAGACCTTTAGACTTTGCCATGTCCACTTTCATTTGATTAAACTCATCTAGTATGTCCAGAACACATGACTGTGAACTGCACGCTATTAAGGGAAAAGACATGACCATGAAAATGACGATCGTCGGACACGTAATCATCCTGACTATCAATGTAAAGACGTTCTTCTTTTAGTGTAAGAATTCTAAAAAAATAAAAAAAACAACAAACAATTTGTCTGTACATGTATCTTTTAATCATGACACGAATAACAACATATGAAAAACAATTTACGAAATAGTAATTTTAAAGAATAAATTATAAATTAAAACCTATTTTAACACAAAAAAAAAACATAAAAAAAAACGAAAAGAACAAACATTACAGAGAAACCTTATTTCATAAATTGTTGCGGTTTCATCTTTTATCTTGCCCCCTCAATTCTAATATATCAATGACACAGGGTTCAGGTAATGAATTGTCATTTTTTTTCTTCTCTTTCATGTAACGAACCCTTTGTTTTCTTTTACTCAACAATGAATGAATGATACTTACATTATATTTGTGTACACAATTCGTATAGTCCAAACTATATGATTATTGTATGGAGTAAAAGTACAATATATATTCTGAGGTAGGTACTTACAGGAAAAAACAATAGGAAGTTATTTTGTTGTTTCTTGTAGCTTAGTTTCCGTTGTACTGTGTAAAAATGTTCAAAGTACATAAATGACGACTAAAGCCCTAACCTCAAATAAATTTGACCGTCAACTAGAACAAAGTAGAAGTAATTTATACTGGCCTTGTGTGTTTAAATACCATTATACAATACCCATTACTAATTCATTTCACATTTGAAATAAATAGCTTTCGCGTTTTAGCAAAATTAATGATGTCAATATTACTGCACCAGATGCGCATTTCGACAACCAATGTCTCTTCAGTGACGTGCGAGGTCAAAATGACGCCAAAATATTGGAAAGTCCTAAACTAAACACAAATACTGAATAGCTGTTAAAACCAAACAGTACCAAAAGTAAAGCCAAATCCTATTTGTATAGATATCACATTTCGGAATTAATTTAGAAATTAAAAAAGATTAACAACATGGAGAACAAGTTTTACAGTGTGTACAAAACTAGCTAAAATGTTTAGTATTTAGTTGTGGACTTCAGCTTTAATTAAATTTTCTAGTTTTTCTAGCGATAACTGTAATGCGACCATGAAATCAACAAAAATTGGTACCTAACGAATAACAATGAATCCAAAGTACTCTAGAAACTATGACATTTTAGTTTGTTTACAAAATTTACACATTTAATCCATCGGGGCATTCTATAACTAGAAACTATATCTACAAGGTTACCACATCTATAAAACAGGAAGAATATGTGGTATGCTGGTCAATAAGACAACTATCCACCAGAGTTCAAATGACGTATAAAGGTCTCCGTGTGGCCTGTAAAAAATAGCAAAAATTATACCACATAGCAAGCTACAAAAGGCCACGACATGACAAATGTAAAACAATTCAAACGAGAAAACTAACGGCCTGATTTATGTACAAAACAATAAACGAAAAACAAATATGATAAACAGCAATAAACCATTACCACTGAATTACAGGCTTCTGACTTGACAAAGGCACACAGAGAATATGATGGGGTAAAACATGTTTGAGGCCGCCCATTAGTCCTTCTTACCTTGGACATTGGTGTTACAGCACAATATAAGAACAAACTATAAAAATTAGTTGACAAGACTCGACTCATCAGATCGATACAAAGCACAGAAACACTAAATACACAAAATATTTATCTGAGGGTACTCGCAACTACTGAACGCTAGAACAAAGCCAAACACAACAAATTAGAAAAAATGTGTATCCAAGACAAAATATCAATCAGTACACATACAATGGGTTTAGTGTAAAGACGTCACAGATAGTCTAGGACAACATGAACTTGCGCAATGCAGAAACGTGACCTTGTGCAATGCAAAAATAATAGTATCGATATGAAGTAGAAGCGTTAGATTTAATAAATGTATAGAAAACATCGCGTAACTGTTATGTTTATTTTGTTTTAAATGCGTCCGTCTGAGATATAAAAAAGAATGCACGAAATGACGTGTGTTCATTCATATGGGTTTTCGGTTGGCCAAAAGCTGTACAATATGATAAATTGCGAAATTTGGCCAATGCCTTAGTTATTATCCTGGTGCACTTATGGTTTCATGACTGGAGTTATCTCAACGTATAATACTTTCGGATTTCCAGGATTTAATTCCCAGCAGCACTGACTTAAGATTAATTTTTGAAATAAACATATACATGCAATAAGTTAGTTGGGTATCTTGTAATGCTTGATTACTCGAACTAAATTGCTCTCCAAGCTGGTTAACTGCCAGTTCCCGAGGGTTTCAATATCCAGTTAGCCAATAATTTTGTAATGGAGTGACATTAGTTTTATATTGAGTTTTTGATTTAAAATAGTTTAAATTGAAAAATATAAGTAAAACAGTTTTCATTTAGGATAATCTGAAAAAAATCAGCTTATTACCAAAACCGTTGGTTTTCTCTTTTATTTTAATTTTTTTATGCCGAGGCCACATATAGTTTACTATACGGGTTTCGCTGTACCGTTTGCTACATTCTTGCCTTTTGATCACTTGCAAAAAGTTGCATCATAAGCAATTGTACCAGAACTCACATTATTGTTTTAATTTTAATAAGTTGATCTAGTTGAATTGGAATGTATTCTATTTTATGCATACCGTTTAATATACTCACCCATTTCGTAGATTTAGGACGATATAGAGATTTCTATAGACACCTGTCTATTGTTAAGGACTGTATGTTGACCTTTAGATATTGTTTTATGCTATTTGGTTATTTGTGTCGTTGTGTTGCTGCCTGAATTATATATTCCGTAGGTTTTTATTTATTATATTTACAAGATCAATCTGCTTGATATGTTTAAGTAATGTACGTTATATGTTGACCACTGGGCAGTTTATGCCCTCCAGGGAATACAATATAACAATCGGTGTACAAGTTCAAATCAAACTTGACAGTTTTGTTCGAATGAAGGTATTTAACCAGAACTATTTTTTTTAAATCGCAGTCAGCTAAGGCCAAGTTTTGCATTTCATAACTATGGGAAAAGAACATTCTTCTTTATTCAAGGAGAGATCAAATGAAATGAAAACCAAATAAGGCAGAAAATATTAAGATCTTTAGAAGGTATTTACAAAATATTAAAACTCATCATAGATACCAAGATTAAAATTGTCTTCACCAGACGCACGTTTTTGTCTACAAAAGTCTACAGTGACGCTCGCATCAAAAATTTTAAAAAGGCCAAATAAAGTTGGTCTATAATGGATAGTTGTCTCCTTGGCGATCATACCACATTTTGTTTTGCATTCACCCGGTATGATTCCAGTCAAAATTTCTGGCAATTAAGAAATCAAACTAGAAAGTTCTCTGAAACCAAAATAATATCGCAATTTAAAAACGTCCATTTCCAAAATTTGAAATACAAGCATCGTAACATCGTGATTTTACTTCATGGTATAACATTCTCAGATTTTTGTCTCTTCTGAACATAATAATAAATAAAATATGAGTATTTTCTGTTCGTCTTCCCACATTTTCTATGTTATTCTTTGGGCGAAACATATTTTTCCTTAAGTGCCATTCAGAACTATCCATCATAATGTTCCTTCTTAGAAATTTATCATATTTGTATGCAAGTTATAAGTGACCATAAGTTAAAATCATAGCGAAATACAACTTTAAGTATTTTACCCTAATTTACCTGAGAATGAATCTTTGAGTAAACAATTTAGCTAGTTGCATTTCCTTACACTAGTAAACAAATTTTGAAATGAAACTTATATTTTGAAAATGCTCTTAAAAGACAGAAAAATAAATTATTAGGTCATGTACAGTGTTTCAGTAAATTTTTAGACTTGTACACTGCGGTAAATTCAGTAATGTTCAGACAATTCGCTTACAGTCAATTAATATACGTTCAGTCTATGTTCAGGCTGTTCTGCAGTTATTGTTTATCTGTACCCAAAAAAACAAAATACTATAAATTGTTTGAAAAGCTACTGAATAGTACTGAATTGACTACAAGCAAAATGTCTGAACAGCACTGAATTTACAACAAGTAAATATCGGAAAATTAAGTTTAGATGCATTAAAACCCAAATAAAAGTTTTGTAAAGATAAAGGTGCAAAAAATATTTTGAATGATTTTAAGCAAAATATAGTATAATAGAAAAATAAAGGATGTTATTTTGGTTTTATTTAAGGTAATCATAAATGTATTTATCAAAGTTAGATGAACACTCATTTATGTTTTATAGGTTTTTAAAGTTGTTTGTTTACAAACAACGATTCACGTGTTTGAGTGTCTAATAATATATATCAAACGGGATTATTATTATCTAATCTTAAATTAAATATCATTGGTTGGTTTTATACCGCAATGCGATGTTTTGGGAATTGTTATCTTAGTAGCACGAGAATGTTTAAATAAATTCAAGCGGGAATTGTTTTCTTGTTAAGTTTGAAAAGTATTAAGAGAGGGACGAAAGATACCAGAGGGACAGTCAAACTCATAGATCGAAAACAAACTGACAACGCCATGGCCAAAAATAAAAAGACAAACAGACAAATAATAGTACAGATGACACAACATAGAAAACTAAAGGTTATTCGGCGCTCGTATTAGACCTTTTTCAACAATTGTCTACGCCTACAGTTGAGAACGACTACGACGGGTGAGATATGAGGGGTCGTCTCAAAAATAAAATTGAAAAAAATATTATTGATCGCATATGATTATATTGATTGCCAATGAGACAACTATCCAACATGACCGACGTGCACGTGTATTTACGCAATTATTTTGTACCGTACCTTGTTTTGTTTATTCAGTATTTGCTTATTAAAATTAAAGTTATTTTTGATGAAAAGAAAGGCTCCGAAATTTCATTTTTTAGACGTCGAGATGGAAATTGTAAAAAAAAAACCAACCTGTATTTTTGTATAAGATGTTTAATTAAACAATATTTTATGTCTGTTGACTAGGGCGGCACATGTTTCTACAATGTCTTTTAATTTTTGCTTCGAGTGCCTCAATGTACTCAGTACTTGATTTCTTTTCAATTCGCTAATTTGATGTTCAACTTGAATTCGATATTCAGCGACAATACAAATAGGCAAACATTTCCCCCTTTCAATTCAGTTACTGATAACAATTATATACAACCATTACTACTTTGAGACGACCACTTACATCTTACCTGTCGTAGTCGTTGTCAACTGTGTTGAAAAGGTCTAATAGTGCAGCAAACATCGTTTTATGTCAGTTATCGCTATGTCAGAACCAATACTCGATTTGAATGAAGATGATTTTTAAGGTGAACACCAAGAACGTTCTACTTAGCAAAGTCCCCTGTCTGTACTGATAAAACCACTGACAATCAACACCGTCAAGTTTAAGATGACACTTTCAGTCTGTTTAATAAATACTTGTACCATGAGCTGGTTGACATTAAATCCGAATTTTTATAAGAACAGGATTCTTTGTCTGGGAGGTTCCATGAA